TGCTATTTTATTTAATGTTCTTATAGGAAAATGATGCATTGTTCTTCCTTAACGAGAAGTTAAGAAAGACATCTTTTCTCTTACAGTGGACTTGAAAGCTCTCTCTTGGAGTTGAGTTTGAAAAGAATGAACTGTTCAACTATCAAAAGTTATTTGTTTTAGGAATTACACAGGAGACCTACTCTCAAACAGTTTGGTTTCTCAATTTTCTGCTCTTAAACATTATTGATGGTCTCAAGAAGCTTTTGTTTATGCTTGTGGATATTTATCATCATGTTAGAAATTAAAAATGAGACTGAAAAAATATTAATTCATTTAAAATAGCATTAACATAATATTAATATTAATACCCTTTTTTTGGACAGAAAATAGCCATATTTTCTAAAGCCAAAAATTAAGAAGGGTGATGTAATTTTAATTTTAGCAAATCTGTAATGTCTGGCTTTAGTAGGAGTCAACTGGATTCTCCTACGTACTTCTGTGTTTAGTCTGTTGTTGTAACACTTGTTATTTACACCTGAAAAACTCCACTGCACAGTTACCAGAGAATGATGGTACAAAAGTCAAAGCCATGTCTTGCAATTGATTATTACATTAATTTTGACTTCTTGGACTTCCTCAAAGGGTATTAGGTACCCACAAAGTTCCCTGTGCCATACTTTGAGAACCATTACTGTAGAACATGTCTCAGTTGAACTTCTTTGGCAATAGAGGTAAACCCAAAAGAGCTAATCTTGGTAATAAGATTTTTATTCACATACTAGAGAATTGACATGGTTTAATAGTAAACACAGAATTGTAATTTGGACTATCTGTGCTGGATGAACTAATTTTTTTAACATTTAATTTTATTTTAATTTCTTTTATACATTCAGTCACATATATCACTTAGCTTATAAAGTAAATGTTCCAACATGAATACATTTCTCACCAGTTCAGTTGGGGATACTATGCACATTATCATCAACAGATAATCCATTTCTTTGTACCAAAAATGTCTTGCCTCTCTATTTTTCTCCTTAATGTCTTTTGTCAGACTCTCCTTCTTCCACACTGTACCTTGGTATTTATAACCATTTTCTATGTTTCTATATCCTCTAGTCATTCAGATTCCGCCACGGAGTGTGGACAGTTGGTGTATATTAAGTGGAGATATAGACTATCTCTCCTTCCTAGTCTGGTTTACTTCACCCAGCAGTAAATCTTCCATATTCATCCACCTTCTGCCAGAAGTCAGTGTCTTATCTTAATGGCTGAGTAGTGGTCCATAGAGTATATGTGCCACACTTTAATCCATTCCTCTGTTTGTGGACATTTGGGTTGATTCCATGTTGTAGCAATTGTGAATAATGCCACAATAAACATAGATATGCAAGCATTCTTCTGTCCTTTGGGTAGATACCAAGGAGTGGGATTGCTGGATCATTGGTAGTTCTATTTGTAGATCTTTGAGGAATCTCTTTGTTACTCTCCACAGTGGCTGGACCAATTTATATTCCTATCAGCAGTGTAAGAGAGTTCCCCTTTTACCGCATCCCTGCCAGCACTTTTTTTTTTTTTTTTTTTTTTAAATCTTAGTCATTCTGACTGGGCTTAGGTGGTATCTCATTGTGGTTTTGATCTGCAGTCCCTCATGATGAGGAATGCTGAGTATTTTTTCATATGCCTTTTGGCTGTTCATATGTCTTTCTTAGAGAGTTGTTTTTCCAGCTCATTCTCTGACCTTTTAATTGGGTTGATCATCTTTTTTGGGGTTAGCCGCTTGAGTTCCCTGGGTATTCTTGTTATCAGTTCCTTATCTGAAGAATATTTTACAAAAATATTTTCCCATTATGAGGGCTGTTGATTCACACTTAATACTGTGTCTTTTGCCATGCAGAAATTTCTTTATCTGATATAATCTTACTTGTCAATTTTTGGGATTATTGACTGTGTTTTGGGGCTGTGCCATTGTCTTAGCTGTCTTTTATTTACTTATTTCTGTCTGTTGATTATTTAGTTTTTCTGGAACAAGACTCTCTTCAAAGTTTCTTGAAGATCTGGTCTGATGTTGACAAATTCTTTCAGTTTTTGTTTGAGAAGATTTTTATTTTTTTTTCCATATGAAGGATAATCTTGCTGGATATAATAATCTTGGTTGAAATTGTTTCTCTCTTAACACTTTCAATATGTCTTCCCATTCTTTCCTTGTTTGCATTGTTTTTATTGAAAGGTCCAGAGTTAGCCCGATGGGATGACTATTGTAAGTCACTTGAAGTTTCTCTCTTGCCAGTTTGAGTATCTTGTCTTTATCTGTGGTTTTGGCCAGTCTAGCTAAGATGGAGAGGATCTTCATAAATTGATTCCACTTGGGTCCTCTGTATTTTTTGGATCTGGATGTTTGACTCCTTCTCTGGACTTGGAAAGTTTCCTTCTAGGACTTCATGGAATAGATTTTCAATGCCCTTATTAGTTTCTTACCCTTCTGGGAATTCAATTATTTGGATGTTTGGACATTTAATGGAATCTAATATTTCTCATATATTATCCTTTTTGTGTATTTTCTCTATCTTTATGGGCTTCCTGGCCCCCCCCTCCCCGGTCAGAGGTTTTATCTCCTACATCTGAGATTTGATTTTCATAATAGTTTAATTGGTTTTTAATACTTTCAAGAGTCTTACCCTTCTGGGAATTCAATTATTTGGATGTTTGGACATTTAATGGAATCTAATATTTCTCATATATTATCCTTTTTGTGTATTTTCTCTATCTTTATGGGCTTCCTGGCCCCCCCCTCCCCGGTCAGAGGTTTTATCTCCTACATCTGAGATTTGATTTTCATAATAGTTTAATTGGTTTTTAATACTTTCAAGAGAGTTTTTTATGTCTTCATTTTAGTTTAATTGGTTTTTAATACTTTCAAGAGAGTTTTTTATTTCATGTGTTACAGACTTCATCTCTAATACTTCCAATTGATTTTTTCTTAGGGTGTCCATTTCTTTTTTAAAATCATGGGAGGGCTTCCTCATCTTCTGTAGTTCATTGTCTCTTTTCTCTTCCAACTTACAGAGTTTTGTCACTATGAATGTTCTGAATTTCTCTGACATTTTGGTAACTTCTGTTTTTTTTCAAGAGATGGAAAATAGTTATTATATTCTCTTGATGAAACATATTTTTTTTCCTTTAAACTTGAAGCTCTTCTGTGACTTCTAGCCATTGTGCTCAAAGGAATATATTCACTTTTGGATACCTTTTTGGGGAATGTTTCTGCCACTTGGAACTAGTTTTTTCCCTTTTGCTGTGGATTTCTTCTGTGCCAAAGTCTTTCTTCTACTGTGTTTAGCAATGTGGTCCCTCTAGGAGGACTTTTCTATTCAGGTTTCGGAAGATTTTCGGAAGAGCAGTTTCTCCTTTTGTACAGGTGGTTCAGTATAGAGCAAGGATCCCTTGGAACATCATGATGCTAGGATGTTTGAAAACTATGATTCTGAACTGTCTAGTCCCTCTAGGTAGGTGGAGAGTAGGGAGAAGATGACAACATAAGTGGGAGGAAAAATGAAAATGTCTCGTGGCATGCAATTTTGGCAGGGGACTGTAAATGGAAGTGGGCTCTGCTTCAAGAGCTGAGAGCTGCCCTATGGGGTAAGAAGAAGTAAAGAATTAGTAAAAGAAGGAAGGAAAAAAGATAGCCTACCTTTCTAGCAGGGAGGAGAGGGGGCTCTCTGGTTCTGAGCTGGGGCTGGAGCTTAGATTGGGACCAATGAGGTTGAGAGCTGGGGCTGGAGCTTAGATTGGGACCAATGAAGGGTCCTGCCTCAGTTTCCCTGACTGGGCATGGGGCTGCAGATGAAAGTGGGCTCTCCTTGAGAGCTGAGAGCTGCCCATTCTGGTGGGGAAGAGAAGGATCTCTAAGGTTTGGAGTTGAGGCTAGGGCAGGGGCCAATGGATGGCCCTGCCTCAGTTTTTCTGACTGGGCAGGAGGCTGCAGATGGATGCCATTCATTTCTTTATTTTTTTTTAGAGAGAGAAATTTTTAGTTTTAATTTGTGGTTTGCTTTCTTGTATTTTATGTGTTTAATGTTAAACAAAGCAGAGTAGGTACTATATGATATTTGAAAAAGGGAAACAACAGCATATACTCTAGTTATTTGCCTGTGATTTAGAGTAGTGTCTTTTAATCTCAGTTTATTTACCAGTTAATGTAATATTTGTAGTCACTACACTTTGTACCAAGTGGTACTTGGGAAGTGCTGGGCATTTGGACATCACAGTGGCCCTCTTTTTTTCTTCTTTCTTTTCCACGTCTTCTTTTCCCTCCCCCTCTCTCTCCTTTCAGTTTATAGAAAAAATGATTTAATTGCAGAGTCATGAGTGGATATGTTAATATGTAGCTAGGTGAATGGCTGGCATTCTGGGTCTAAAGTTCATCTTTTTAGTCTTCTCCTGGACCTCTTCCTCCCCCCTTAGATTCTGTATAAACTCTTGTACCAATTGTACTTTTTAAAATATAACAATTAAAATATACATAATATACATACCTGGCCCTTTATAAGCATATGCTCATGGCTACTGTTCTTTTTTCTCTTTCCTTTTGTCTTTAACTTGTCATCTTCCTCATCTTCTACCTACCCTCCCTCTGCTTGCTCCCCTTCCCTACTGTGGTTTGTGCTTGACTTTAGTATTCCATTGGTTCTTAAAGGGCAGTTAGCTAGAAGTTATCTTCTTTGGGCTCACTGCTTTTTCCTCTGAGCCACTGGTATTTGTTCTTCCAGGGTATGTATGAGTTCCATGGTCTGTCAGACTTCAGATGTTGCCTCCTCAACACTTCACAGTATTTAGGACCAGCATCATGACAGGATCATTCTTTATTCTGATGGAGAAATTCTACCATGGTTTTTGTTAATTACTTATCCTGAGTATGACATTTCTATAGTTACACTTTTTTTTTGTTTTTTTTTTGCATTACAAAAGGGGTTAGAGATTGTAAATTTTACTTTATTAATGACATTTATTTATTTTAGAATTTCAGATTGCCAGAAGACAAAACAGGAACTACAAGGATTGGTGACCTGGCACCCCAGGACATGAAGAAGGTCTGCCATTTAGCCTTAATTGAGTTGACAGCTCTCTATGATGCTTTGGGTATTGAACTGAAACAACAAAAAGCTGTGAAAATCAAAACAAAAGGTAATCTTAAAATGAAAAGCAATTGGATTTACCTCTGAAGTAGCAAAGATGGATTTGGCTTTTAAGCAATATTTTGGAGTACAGGAGGAATGTCTACAAAATAAGCCAACAATTGATTACCTGAAAAGAGCAGATTCTAGAACATTGCCTTCAAATATTTTGTAAGCTGATTAAAATATTCCGTGACCTAGACTTTAGAAAATGAACGTATAATTAAATAATATAATTTCCATGGAAGGAAATTCTGAATCAAGGGATATTATCATATGTAATCTTTCCTTTGAAATTAAAAAGGTACATTTGGTATGCATATTTATTTCCAAAGTCAGATCTTTAAAAATGACTTGAAGATAATTGATCTTGAATGATTACTTTTGCTTATACATTGGATGGGAAACAATTATTGTTCTGTTCTTCTGTTTATTTTACGTTCTACTTTTAAATATATTTCAAAAAACATTTTTCCCCGGGACCAGCAGTTAGCATAATGGCTACGTCGCTGGACTCCCACGTAGTCGACAGCGGTTCGAGTTCCGGACCCAGTGGCTTAAACTCATGCTGGGCGCGTGTGTGTGCGTGCCCAAGATCCCAAGAGGAGAATGGAGGAGAAGGGATTGCAATGTGGCCATCCCCCTGGGTGGTGATTTCTCGCTTTCCGTCTCTCTGTCTCTCTCTGTCTGTCTGGCGAGTGCACGTCCCTATAGCAAAAACTTCTCAAAAAAAAAAAAAAGGAAAAAAAAAGAGAACAGTTTTCCCCTATTAAGAAAATAATGCTATCATAGCCCACAATACTACTTGGATTGTATTGATAATGGATAATGTGTAATTTTTCTTTTGTAAGCAGCAAGCTTTACACATCACATAAACGATTTATTTTTTATAATAGGGAACAGACACCTTCTCATTTTTTTGTTTCTCCAAGATATTATTTGTCTATAAACCAAATAGTTTTTGATTGAGAATGCTTTCTTGTTTAGGTATCTTTTTCCTCTTGTTTAACCTTAAAGGTATCTCAAAAAAAAAAAAAAAAAAGCAAGAAAGGGGAATATACCGTTTATCTCAAAAAAAAAAAAAAAGCCAAGAATGGGAAATATTGAGTTGCTATGGTAACATTAGCAAAGACAAGTATTCACCTGATGTAAGTTATAGAGGAAATATCTCCATAGTTTTGAAGTGTGCCTTCCCCACATGTCCTCTGTCATGCTGGATCCCAGAAGACTCAGTTCCATGCCCAGTTCCATTGAGTATTTTAGCTTCATTAAATTAAGACTTACATTAATTAAGACTTACATTAAGTTAAGCTTCTTATTAAGACTATCACTGTCAGGGCCAGCAGGTGGTGTGATGGTTAAGGATGCTGGACTCTCACATGGTGGACTACAATTCGAGTCCCTAAACTGGAGGCTTGCTTTCTCACTTTCCCTCTCTTGCTCTGTCCCTCTCTGGTCCAATACAAATACAAATAAATAAATTTATTAGAAAGTTAAATAAAATAATTCTTCTTTAAAAAAAGACTATTACTATTAATAGAGCAGTTTCTTTCCATTTTTTCAAATATCTGTGTGTCTTGCCAAGACATTTATCTTATTTACTAGTCCTTGGCATTCTTGAGGATTGCATCTTTTCATAATTGCCAAAGTAAAAAGTTATTTACTGGGTTCCTGGCGTTCTTTTGAATGGCATCTTGTTTAAGTGTCATAGAGTCCAGTATCTGTCCTAAGACCACAAGGTATTCCCCTTTCTCATGTTCACAGATGATTTTTATTTTCTGTCCCGTGCTATGTGTCCTTCTATCCAGAAATGGGTGTAAGTGCTGGGCGGGAGCTATGCTTATACCAGACTCAAGTCACATTATCCTTTTTTTTTTAAAGTAATATGATCTTAATTTAGAAAAGTAATAAATGTTTACTGGTCATTTCTTCTGGAGCTGTTCTCAAGTATATATAAATATGAATACAAATTTAAATTTAAGAATGCCAAGTATCTACTATATATTTAAAGAGAAATTTGGTAGCACGAAATCAAAATGTTGGCTGATTTCTCAGAAAGCAAGTATTTATAGTTCACTGTATAGTAGGATGTTAAAGGTTAATTTAGTATGGAAGAAACCAGTAATATTTGTTTATAAGCCAGCACTTTCAATTCAATTGCATTTAATAAATTATTTGAATGTTTTCCATGTTCTCACAGCACTCTATTCTCTTACGTAACAGGTTGTACTTCCGTAGTTATTATGGTAATTACCTGTACTCATTTGTTCAGTTGTCCTTCCCTGTGATTGTTCTTTAAATGGGCCCAGGATTTTCCTATTGGCCTGCCTATATCTAATGGCCAGATAGTATCATTCACTTCATAGATGTTTAAATAATTGTTGTTTGATTGACTGGCACTGTCAGAAATCTTATGCTTTAACATTTTTGTGTTAATATTTTATAGACTGATGGAAATAAAGAATTTTTGTTTTTCTTTTTGCAGATGCTGGTCTTTTTGGTGTTCCATTGACAGTATTGTTAGAACAAGATCAGAGGAAAGTACCAGGGACTCGAATACCCTTGATCATTCAAAAAGTAAGTAGACCTGAACTGGTCAGAGTAGAGAGAACATACTTGAGCTAATAGTGGTTTTTCATTTGCATTCATACTGTTGCGATATAGTTTTCCAATTGATATGCTCTTTCATTTTGTACTTTGATTTTCTATTCAGGAAGCAAATTTGTTTCAAGGGCTCATAATTTTTATTTCATGGTGATGCTTTCTGTGTTATTACTGTAACTGTGATTACCTGGCATCATTTTCCTGTCTTATATTAGCTGGCTTTGTATAATTGAGATTTCAGTTCTATAATACATAGGAGTGGGAACTGCTTATAAATTTCTAGGGAATTGAATCTTCATGAATATTTCATGCCTGTATGTATTTCCCAAGCTTTCCTATTTACAGTGAGGATGTCCAATTTAATTTACCAATGCCTACCTCCAAACTAGGTAAAGAAAACCATAAAGAAGAATTAGAAAATGATTGCTAAACTATCAAGTCACTTGTGTAGTCAACACTCCATTATTCATAAGGGGATTATCAGTAGCAATATAAAAATTTCAGTCCAACCACTGAGGCATCATTGTTTAGAAACACATATTACATTTGATAAAAAGTAGAAAATACACATTGAAGAAGGCAGATCATATCAGTTGTGAATTAAGATACAGGTTCTTTGCAATAGCAAGGTATATCATAGTTTCTGAAACTTTGAAGAACCGCAGAAATTGATTTGTAGCTGGTTGGCTTAGAAAACTCATCTAATATTAAAGCTCTGTGTAACTGGTACTTTATTTTCTCATATTCCTCATATTCTAATATTTCTATTTTCTCATATTCTCCATTCATTTCCTTGTCTTATCTCCAAACCTGGCACCTTTATTCCTTAAGGCTACTATTACATCCAAATGTGTATCTCATTGTTTCTCCTGATGAACTGCATCTTACATGGGTTATCCTACTCATCGTCTTCTGCCAGCCACTACCTTTTTAATCTATGTGTGTATGGATCACTGCCTACAGTACCTGTGATTAACAGAAAAAGGCTAACACACATAAATCACGTAATCAAATTATTCTTTTTTTCCCCGTCAGCTGTTTCTATTGGACAAGAGCACCAGATCCATTTAGTTAAACTTTTTTTTTTTAGTTAAATGATTTTGAAGGAGTAGAATTGCATTGACCTCAACTAATTTAAAAATGCTGCTTTTTATTTCTGCATATGTTGAATACTTTCTTTTTAATTTTAAGAAAAGCAGTTTTAGTTTTAATAAATATCAAAGGAATGCTAAGGAACTTGACTTAAAACTTAAAGCCAGGAGATAGGTTAGGATTCTGTTCAAATAGTAGGTACATGAATCTATCATCAGCTTAAGACAGGACAAAAATCCTTAAAACTGGAAAACAAAGCCTGTAAGAAAATTAGCAATATTTTAGTCAAAAGTCATAAAATTCTATTTCACCAATTCAATATCGTGTACTTTATCTTCTGTTGTGGTTCGATCTTCCTGATTAAATCTTGGGATATAATATTTAACTCCAGACTTGTCCCTTCAATTAAATTGGCCTTTTTCTTAGTTTTTGAACTCTTATTTCTGTGTGTCTGTATTTTATTTTCTGGGATAGCATTCCCTCGAGAACTTCTTGGATATCTGGCCTGGTGTTGGTAAATTCTTTAAGGTTTTGTTTATCTGAGAATGTTCTTGTCTTTTCTTCCCAAATGAAGGATAATCTTGCTGAGTACAGTGTTAGTTGAAATTGCTTTTCCTTTAACACTTTGAATATATTTTCCCGTTCTTTCTTTATTCATGTTGTTTCTGATGAGAGATCTGCTATTAGCCTGATGGGATATCCTTTGTGGGTAACTTGCCCTTTCTCTTTTACCAATCTTAGTATCTTGTCTTTGTCTGTGACTTTGGTCAATCTGGCTATAATGTGTTTTAGAGAAGATCTTGGGTTGATGCTCTTTGGGGTCCTTTGTATTTCTTGGAACTGGACCTCTGAATGCCTCTCTAGGTTTAGAAAGTTTTCTTGCAGGATTTCATGGAATAGATTATCAATGCCCTTATGAGTTTCTTTACCAGATGTTTGGACATTTGATGATATCTATTATTTCTCGTATATCATTCTCATTTTTGGGGGCAATTTCCTCAGGATTCATGGTGGATTTTTCTAGGCCAGTGATTCTGTCTTCTACATCTGAGATTCAATTTTCTGTATGATCTAGTCTGCTTTTAATACTTTCAAGGGAGATTTTTTTGGGGGCAGGGGGGAGAGGTTTTTGCTATAGGGTGCGTGCGCTCGCCAGACAGACAGAGAGAGACAGAGAGATAGAAAGCGAGAAATCACCCCCCGGGGGGGATGACCACGCCGCAATCCCTTCTCCTCCATTCTCCTCTCAGGATCTTGGGCACGCATGCACATGCGCCTGGTGTGAGTTTTAAGCCACCAGGTCTGGGACTCGAACCGCGGTCGACTACATGGGAGTCCAGTGACATAGCCATTACGCTAACTGCTAGTCCCTTTCAAGGGAGATTTTGAATTCCTGTATTATAGCCTTCATCTCTAACAGGTCTATTTGATTTTTTTTCATAGTGTGTATTTCCTCTTTTAGATCTTACAAGAATTTCCTAACCTCCTGGAACTCATCAGCTTTTTTCTCCTGCCTCTTCTGCATTTCATTGTCTCTCTTCTCTTCCATCTCTGTTAGCTTTGTAATTATGGATAGTCTACATTCTTTATCAAGCATTTCCATGAGTTTCATTGTACTGTCTGAGGATGAAGAGGAGTTATTTTCTTTCCTTGGAGGAGAAGTATTTCATTGTTTTCTCATATTTCTTGTGCCCCTGTGGTGATTTCTAGGCATCTGATGGAGGTTGCATTTCTTCCTAATTCTTGAAGTTCAATTTGAGTGTTCAGAGTCGTGTAGAAGGAGGTGATCTACAATCTCTCTTCTGTTTTGTTTTCACTCTTTGTGCATCAGAGTCACTGGGAACTGATGAATATTCTGACCTTAATTGTATTCAGATGTTTGGATCCTGTTCACTTGGACCTGTTTAGACACTTAGTGCATAGAGACCACTAGAAATGCATCTGGAGAGGGAAGTCTCAGCAGAAAATCTTCATTTCTGGTCAAGGAAAGCAATATTTCACAGCTTGAGTTCAGTAACCCCATAATCAAATGATCCTAATAGTGATCAAAGTTACCACACACTGATGGCTGTGCACAATAAGAATCTCAGCAGCACCTTCTTCAAGTGTATTAGTCAAAGTTCTCTTGAGAAACAGAACAGTAGGAAACATCTAGAAAGAGATGAAGAAATATGTTTTAAAGAATTGACTCACACAATTGTGGGGCCTGACAAATCTGAACTACATACACCTGGCCAACAGGGTACAAACAGAGGCAAATATTGATGCCACCATCTTGAGTTCAAAATCTGCAAGCTGAAACTCAGACAAGTTTTCTGTTTTGGTCTTGAGGCAGAATTGCTTCTTCTTTAGGAAACTTCAGTTTTTGCTCTTAGGCTTTCAATTGATTAGGTGAGGTTCACCAGATTACGTAGGGTGACTGCTTTACTTAGAGTCTTCTGATTTAAATGTTAACCACATGAAATAAAACAAAACACAACAAAACTGTCATTCCAACATTTGAACTGGTATTTGCTGAATAGCCGGGCACTATAGCTTAGCCAAACTGACACAGATTTCACCATCACACCAGGGACATTTGGTAAGCTTCATTTCATGGAGGTTCAGTAATACCTCTTAATTAAGCTGAGGATTGCATCCAGACTCTTAAAACAAAGAAATCTCTTTATCCTCTTCTCATGAAATTGTTCTCTTATTTATTTACTTAGGTATTTCTCATTTTTGTTTTCTTCAAGATTCTGGGAGACTTTGGCTGCCTCTCAGTTTTTGTTACTAGATAACAGCTCTGAAATTTTTAAATTTTTCCATACATAAACTAAAGAGAAGTGTATTTAGTTTACTTATAGAAACACTCACCTATTTGTATCCTCTCTGAATTATTGGATAAGCAAATATGTCACAATGATCTATCATAAAATTTTTTTTTTTTTGATTTTTCAACCGACAACTCAATTAGGTCCTCCCTCAATTTTAAATAGGAAAAAAATAGGAAAAGATTCACTCATGTAGTCCTTTAGAAGATTATACTTTAATTTTTGTGGAAATATACCCCAAAAGAATACTAAATGAATTCATCTAATCTCAGGCCAGTTGGTGGGCATGGTAGTTAAGGCATCGGATCCCATACAGCTGACTCTATGGTTGGAGTCCTAGACTCAGTGGCCTTGAAAAACATACCAGGTGCATATGTGAGCATACCCAAAATCCTGACGAGAATGAATGAGAAGGGACTATGGTGTGGCCATCTCCCCTGGGGAGTGATTTCTCACTTTTGCATTCTTTATGTCTCTCTATCTAGTGAGTATATTCTCCCTATGACAATAATTTTTAAAAATAAACATTTATCGGGAACCAGCAGTTAGTGTAATGGCTATGTCGCTGGACTCCCACGTGGTCGACCGTGGTTCGTGTCCCGGACCCGGTGGCTTAAAACTCACGCCGGGCGCGTGTGCGTGCGTGCCCAAGATCCCGAGAGGAGAATGGAGGAGATGGGATTGCGGCGTGACCATCCCCCCTGGGGGGTGATTTCTCGCTTTCTGTCTCTATGTCTCTCTCTGTCTGTCTGGCGAGCGCACGCACCCTACAGTGAAAATCTCTCCAAAAAAACCCATTTATCTCTATAAATTGTATCTTGTATGTTTTTTCTCAGAGGCATATTATTTAAACCATATTCTCATAAAGGGTTGGGATAATGGAAATACCATTCATTTAATCTATTCCAAAGTCTGCCTTAAAATCTAATTAGCAAATTCAGTATTCTCACTATCAGGCTGATCAGTCATGTCAGACACACTTTGTATCAAAAACTTGACTTCATTTTCATTTAATTTTTCAATTCAAATTAGGTATATAATATTTACTTTCAGAAATGCTATGAAAATTATAAAACATATCTTACAAGATAAATTACTAAAAATAGCATGATTAAAATATAATCAACATAGTTATTTTTCTATTTTAAGTTTTGAGAATAAAAAGAAAGCTATAGTTAAGTTACATTATTTTGCATGTAAGAAATATGGGAAAACACAACATTCCTTCAGCTAATATATTCATATAAGTTTATTAGATGATGCTTTTAGCTTTGGAAAATAATAAAAAGGACTGAAACATAAAAATTCAGAAATGGCTCTCATTAAATTATTTATAAGTCGTAATCAATTTTTCCTGTCTAATTAAAGTAAAAGGTTTATACCGCTGAAAACTACTTTGCTCCAGCAATTTGCATATAATTTGTTTTTTGTTAACAGTATGTGGAAACATTTGAAACATTTTATAAGATGAAATAAAATGAAAATTGGCTATGATTGAATATTGAATTTGGTTTTAAATATTTTATCGAGTAATGCCCATTTAATTTAAAATAATTCACATAACATTTTTTTTAGTGAGGGTTTTTCTTCAAGGTAATCTGAAAATGTATTTTAGAAAATATTCCAGATGGATTTTTAAAAATTATGTACTGCTTCATTATGAAATGCTTTTTTTTTTTTTTTGAGAGGTTTTTTCTATAGAGCACGGGCACTCCCCAGACAGACAGACACGTGCACTCACCAGACAGACAGAGAGAGACAGAGAGACAGAAAGCGAGAAATCACCCCCCACAGGGAGAATGGCCATGCCACAATCTCTTCTCCTCCATTTTCCTCTTGGGATCATGAGCATGCATGCACATGCACCCAGCGTGAGTTTTAAGCCACCAGGTCCGGGATGCGAACCATGGCTGACTACATGGGAGTCCAGAGACATAGCCATTACGCTAACTGCTGGTCCCTGAAATGCTTCTCTTTTCAACTAATAATAAATCTTTAGGAGGTTTTTGAGACTACTCTGCTAAATTCTTGCCTGACTACTTTAATATCAATGTATTCTTTGGCCATAATCTAATCCAGGGATAGAAGAGGTGAGGTCATTAAAGAAAAATTGCCTTCTCTTCCAGTATCCACATGCTACAATTTATCTGATTTTAGAACATCTAGACAAAGGTCAAAAGACCTCATTTATGATGCCATGCTTTGCTGCTAACAGATACTTTTATATGCAAGGGAAAAACAGTGCGTGCTATGTAGTTTATAGAGTCCTGGTTAATCATTATGGGAGGTGTCTCTAAAAAAAAAAAAAAGAATGCTTTATTTTTACATTCTGTTGGTGCACTGGAAGATTTTATGCCTTAAGGTGTACTCTGAGTATTATAGTAAGATTCAAATGAGTGAAGAGTAGGTCTGTCTTTTTATAAAGTAAGAGAAGGCTGTTCTTAAAGGATAGGTGGTAGAATAGAAACTTATATGATGCTAATAAATGCCTTATATTTAAACTAAGGACATGAACATTAGTTCATTATTTCATTAAAAATAGTGGAATATACCCTATAAAATCTTCATGTACTGCCTGGGTAATACATATTCCAGTTGGAAGATCACTCTGCTAAGAAGCTCATCACTCTTTTATCTTTTTTCTAGCCTCCAACAATTTGTCATTTTATTTTCTCCTATGTTTTTGGGTTTCTGCCTAATTAAAAAAATCAAGTTGTCCCGTAGTTGGCTTCTAGAAATAGTGAGGTCATTGGGTATGATTTAGAAGCCCTAATACAAGGCCATTTTTCTTCAAGTGTTCTACAAAAGTCTTAAATATAAGTATTTTCAGTTCTTTCTCTTTCATATCATAAATAACTTTTTCTTGGAATAAACTACAAATTATATGCAAATGTGTAAATACTGGAATTTCATAAGATATATTTGATCGTAAAGTTTGTTTTTCTGGAAAAGCTGAAGAAGTGGATATTCTTGGTTGTTTTTAAACAATGAACATCTTCCTTCTCCATTTGTTTGGAGTATCACAGCTGTTGTGTTAAAGGATGCACTTTTGTTGCAAAGTAGAAAAAGATTCAACTTTCTCTAAATTATAACTGAGGTTGTTAGACTTCTTGTTTTGAAGGATAGTGGTAGTCCAGTAGCATTCAAAACCTTGCCATGTCTCGTTTATGTGTCATTATAATCAGTTTTCACTTGTTTATATTTGAAAGCGATGTTAAATTTGGAATTGTACCTGTTGCAAATATCAAAAGGAGAATGTTTTTCTCTTTATACACAGCTCATTTCTCGAATTGAAGAGGGAGGTTTAGATACTGAAGGCCTCTTACGAATACCTGGAGCTGCCATTAGAATCAAGGTAATAAATTATTTTTCCTAATATGAAATTAATTTAATGTTTTTTTTTTAATAGATTTTTGCCATAAGTTGCATGCACATGCCCAGAGAAAAACAGTGAGAGACAGAAGCAAAGTGAGAAATCAGTGCACATGCCCAGAGAAAGACAGTGAGAGACAGAAGCAAAGTGAGAAATCACTCTTCAGGCGAGGTAGCCATACCACAATCCATTCCCCTCTTGGGGCTTTGAACACACACACACACACACACACACACACACACACACACACACACATACACACCTGGAGTGATTTTTCAAACCGCTGGGTCTGGGACTAGAATTGCAGTTGGCCATGTGGGATCCTAGCACCTTAGTACCATACCACCAGCTGGCCCCTAAAATTCTATTGTTTAATTATACTAACTCATTTTATAAGCTAACTCATCCTCCCTATCCCTGATTCCCATAATTAATAAAATAGATAAAATTAACCAATAAAGCCTTTTAAGTTTTGATTTTTCAGAATTACCTATAACCTATAACTATACTGTGATCAAGGGAACATGTTGATTCAAAATATTAATGACTGGCTGGTAATAGATTAGTAAAAGGAATTTCAGCAATTGAGTTTTTTAAAAAGTCCAGAACATAGACTCCAGTAGGTGAGCAGTTTTGGGGCTGGGACATTATCTGTCTTAGTAAGCTGGCCAAATGAGATTCTATCAACCACCTTTTTTTGCTTCTTCCTACTATATGCAGTGTACCCCAAATGTGGCTCATGAAAGAAAGAGGCCATTCCCAACTTCTCAGTTTGAGCCTCCCTAACCCCTACCTTTTCTTCTCTCTGGATGGCATTTTATTCCTGCTATCCCAGGATACTATGTGTCCTGCTTTCACCCTTGCACCTTGGTTCCTATTCGAGGGAATACAGCTTCCATGGATTGCAGGATAATAATGGAATTACCCTACAGGTAAAGCATACCAGATATGCAGCCCAGGGGATTTGCATTTTAAAGGAGACTCATTTTTGGCATTGTAGTTCTACCTGGAAAAATCTATCTAAGAAAAGTTTTTGGTTAGCAGTCTGCAATTATTTCTTTCACTCTGTCTTCCAAAATCACCTTTAGTCCCTTAGATAGTGTGAGCAATTGCTCACATCCAGTATCTTGTCTTCCTGCATTTGAAAATCTAAGAGAGAATAGGCCAGAGGGCAGAATTATTTTTTGTGTAGTCCCTTAGGACCGAGTCTGAAGGAAATGAACAGAGTTGGACTGGAACAAGATGGTTCTTGGAGGTGCACGCTGTCCTGGCCGGTGACGATTGTGCTGTGGTGCTGCCAGAACTAGGAGTACTGTCCATGGAATCCAGAGTTTGCATCATCTGCTTGCTTTGATGTTTCCTCCGTTTAGGACCCAAGTTTCAGCCTCTTTGCCTCTTCTCGTTTTAATGATATCTGAGTAATAGATATATCCTACTCACAGATTTCAGCCTGTGGCCTCAGGGTTTGGTACCTGGTGCTTAGAGGTTCCTGAGACTGTGCGTGTTTGTAAGTCCATAGCTTGCCTTTGTCTCATTTCACTTACTAACACCAATGGTTAGTTTCTGACACCGTGTGTGATGCTGAGAAGTTCATTCCTTGCGAAGAAGTAGTTCCTCAAAAATGGGAAATGTGACTTCATACCACCAATAGCAATGAGAACACTGCTTCTTCATTCATTGGTCAAGACACTGGCCATTGTCTCGGCTAACTCGTGTCAACGACATGTTTCCTTCGTATTGAGTTGTGAATATAATGTGGGTTTTACTTTGTCATGAGAAGGCTGGCAGAAGGACAAGTTCAACTAAATATAATTTCTAAGAAGTTCAATTAAGTGGATTCAGCTGGCTCTGTTCTTCATTCTAGCCTGTTTCACACACCAAACTATGCAGCAGCTGGCCCATTTTAAATAATTTAAGGATTAATATGCAAAAAATTTTATTGTCTTTTTTCTCTCCTGCTCTACTAAATTTCTTTGTACTCTTCCTTCTCCCTCTCTCCTTTCTTCCCTCCTCTCCTTTCTCTTACTCTTTGTTGTCCTCTCCTTCCTCTCTTCCTTCCCCTTCTTCTTTTTCCTTATCTCTTTTCCTCAACCTCCCATTCATTTCCTCTTTTCCTCCTTCCCTTCTCCCTTTTCTTTCTTCTCTCTTCCTCTCTCTCTCTAACCATCTACTTTTATCTCTTCCCTCCTTCTTCATCCTTTTCTCCCTCCCTCCTCCTGCTCTCCCACCCCATCTTTCCCCTTTAGTTCCTGTTTTTAGGTTTACCTTCATGTACTTCATCAATTACAAAAATAACTGTGGGGTTGGGGTGTAGCGTCACTCCGCAGTGCTGTGCATCAGGAGCTAGATTCCACATGACTGACAGCTGTCTGAATCCTGGCCCTGAAGGCTCAAAAAACAGGCTTTGTCATGCCCCAGATACTGACAAGACAGTGAAATGGAGGAAAACACGTTTGCAGTATGACCATGATCTCCTGGGGGTGTGCTTGTGCCCTCTTTCTCTCTATCTCTCTTGGGGAGGTGCATGCCCTCTCTGGTAATTACAGAAAAAAAAACTTTTAAAGCTTTTTGACATGGGGCACATGTGCTTGACATGAGAGAGAGAGAGAGTGAGAGAGAGAAAATCACCCCCCCAGATGGAATGATCATGCCTCAGTTTCTTCTCTATTCTCCTCCTGTGATTTTGGGCATGCATGCACATGCATCCAGCATGATTTTCAAGCTTCCAGTTCCAGGACTTTAACCAAGATTAGCCATGTGGGAATCCAGCACCTTAACTTCTATGCCACCTGCTGGCTAAGAAAAAAATCATAACAAGAACAATTGGGGTAGTAGATGAAGGATGTGTTGAGAAAAGAAAACGTGGTAAGTTCATCTTGTAAGAAAAACAACATTCTTTGGGAGGATATTTTTAAATAATAGAAGGAAATGACAGACAACTTGGGAGAACTTGTAACATGACAGGATTTATGCCAATGTTTAAAAGAAAAAGCATACAGAAAAGAGTAATTATGAAAGTAAATTGATTTATTAGTAATAATTTTCCTGGCAAAATTTTGAGAGTCCCTGAGGTAAATGAAGTAGGAGTTTCTAATTCTACACAGACTCTGACTATTTTCAGCAACTGGCAGCAGGGTGGCTGTGCATGTAAGACAGGTATATTGATGTATTTTCATGCCTCATTTGCTGTAGAACTTGGTTTTCAATTTCCCAGAGGTGACTAATCAGAGGTTGCTGCCTGCTTAAGGCTCAGAGATCGATTATGCATTTTGTTATGTAATGTATTTCTAAATAATTTAAATCATAGCCCTCCTCCCCCTTTTTTTTATATTGCCAGAGGGCATGTGCACTTACCAGAGAAACAGAGAGACAAGGAAAGAGGGAGAAAGCACCCCCAGTGGGGTGTGATCACCATGCAATCTCTCCTCTTTTCATCCGGTTGGGATTTGGAACATACCAGCACATGTGCCCAACATGTTTTTCAAGCTGCTGGGCTGGAATTTGAACCATGGTCGGCCATGTGGGACCTGGCTTCTTTAACCAAAGGCCATGAAGCTGGTCCTAGATTTGTTTTCTAAATAGATTTTTTAAAATTTAGTGAAGAATTACAGTATCTGGGTGAAGCCCCCAATTGGGAAGACTGCATTAATTAACCTTTTAATAAACTGTACTACTTAATATTTTGAGTGTCTAGGGAAAGTCTAAATTTAAAAAAAAATTTCTTTTTAGCCGTAGGTATACTTTTGCACTGGGAAAACTACACTCATGGTGGAAGGAGTAGTATTTTTCTAAGTAACAGAGAAATATTGATTTTTGGTATTTTGGTATGCTTTTTCTGAAAAGTAGATAGAATCTCTTATAAAATGGAAAACATCACACTCTCCGCAGGGGGAAAAAAAAAAAAAAGGCTTTTACTGATGGCTTTCCCCCACTTATGCCTTTCAGAATCTTTGCCAAGAACTAGAAGCAAAGTTTTATGAAGGGACTTTTAATTGGGAAAGCGTCAAGCAGCATGACGCAGCCAGCCTCCTGAAGCTCTTCATCCGGGAGCTACCTCAGCCAGTGCTCAGTGTGGAGTATCTCAAAGCCTTTCAGGATGTCCAGAGTAAGTGCTACCCCTCCCTGAAGCAGTGCTCGTATGATGCCATCCTTACTAGTTGTGTAATGACAGTTGACATCACAGGACCATCATAACCCAATGGACGTGGATAGAAATAGCAACTCATTGATGTCAGCAGGCGCTTAAATGCTGTCACGCATTGTTTTCTTTTCCTTTTCAAAATACACATCTCTGAGTAAATAGAAAACAGAATGTTCCCTTCAGGTGCAGAGTGATTGCCTGGTATCTAAGCCATACAGTATTTTTTAATGCTAAAACCCAGAGAGTTCACATTTCCCTTGTAATAGAGTGAGTCACGAAGATCTCTGATACATTTTTCTTGCCAAGTGTTAAAAGCAACACTTAGTGGAGAAGCTGTGGATGAGCAGTTATCATAGAAACACAAGAAGAGGTGGCAGAGTCTGTGAACAACTCCCGGAAAATTAAATTCTGAAAAAGTTATGCAGAAATTTAGAACAAAACATTTTGCTGCCTTATTAACAGAGGACCACAAACGGCTTCGTAAGTCTTGCCATTTTGTGGTCTTGGGAAAACTCCAAATTAATGTCTTTCATAGATCTTGACTCCTTTCAGCTACTAAAGAGAGCCTAGAAGGCTTATATACTGGCACAATTATATCTTTTACTCCTCAAGGCTCCCCAAAGGGGACAACTCCACTATCATATTCAAGTAACCTTATCTTTCACTTCTAAACTGGGACATATGAACACACATATATCTATATATCTATATCTACATACATATATATTCACACACACACACACACACACACATTTTTTTTTCTTTTGATTTTTACCATAGGGCACATGCACTCACTGGCCTTAATGAAAGGGAAAGTGAGAAATTAACTTCCCCCCAGGAAGGATGGCTGCAATCCCTTCTCCTCCATTCTCCTCCTGGGATTTTGGTCATGCACACACATGTGCCCGGCATGATTATTCAAGCTGCCAGGTCCAGGACTCAAACCATGGTTGGCCACGTGAGAGTCCAGCACCTTAACTACCATGCCACTGGCTGGCCCTAAAACTGGTACACTTTTAATGAAAAACAGGCACTATTAATAATTATGGTCAGCTACATAACTGCTCCGAGTTGTTGTTTATTTTTTTCCTTAAGTTTATTTTTCGTATTATATATATATATAGAGAGAGAGAGTGTGAGAGAAAGAGAAACAGACAGATACACCCAGGAGAGAGAGAAGAAAAAAAAACCCAAAAAACAGACAAATATACCCAGGAGGGTCTTCATGTCATGATCCACTCCTAGCCTCAGCTAGCCTTGATCATGGGCACATGCACATGTGCCTGGCATACCGAGGAAAGCTTGAAGTCTCAAACTTGCCACCTTCCCATGTGGGTACAGTTGAATTAGTGCTACACCACTGCCTAGCTCCCTCTATCCTTTTCCTAAAGCACGCAATGTTGAGAGGATTCCATGAGTCATCTCATATCATATTTCTTTAGAATTTCTAAGAGAGATATGACTGAAATCATCTTCTATTTAAAGCAATTTTTTCTTAATAGATTTGTTCTTTAAACAGAAGAAATTATCTTCTGTTTAGAATATTATTTTTACTGTATAATTTTGATGTTTTGCATATATTTCCTCAATATGCATTAAAGGACCAAAATTGATTGTTGTGAAAGAGATGCTGGAATGATTTGGAGTAGATCCATGAGTATTACTTTAATGGAGAAAGGGCTACTGAAAATGATAGTATCAGTGAAAATAATATACCTATTAGACTCTTTAATTGCTCCTTGGCTTTCTAATTCATTACAAACACACTTATTGAACACCTAATATGCCCCAGGCTCTGTTTTGCATATTCCTGTACTAATTATTGGACTCTTAGCATGCATTTGTTCACTCACCACTGAAAAGAAACTAACTTCACTGCTAAGAGATGCACCCTGATACATGATCATGGCAAGGTCCAATCTTCCTTGTGTTTTCATTGGGGAATAATTATCTCACAGAAGTTAAAATTATTTCCAAAGCACTGTTGTATGTCTGCAAACATAAGGCTGCTCGTCATCTGATCGCAGTTGGAAATGAGCATTCGGAGAGAGAGGAAGCTCTTAACAGCAGCTGCTTCTGCTGATCCCCCCCGACACACACACTCTCAACAAGACTAGCTGCTCAGTCGTCGTGCCTTACATTTCACAGTACTGTTTACACTGACTAACTTTTTTCTTTAAAAAAAAAAAAATGAATAAAAAAGGCAAAGAAAAATGTCCAGTAAGGAAAAGTGTTCAGATTTATGTAATCTGTCTGCAGATCTTCCAACCAAGAAGCAACAACTACAGGCTTTGAACCTTCTTGTCATCATTCTGCCTGATGTCAACAGAGACACACTGAAGGTCAGCTGGATTGATTTACATTAAATATCTCTTAGAATTAAGCAGGATAAGTTTTCATTATTTGTGGCAAAACAATGTGATGTGTATCTCGGAAATGTTTATAAAAGCCTATGGAAGTAAAGGCCTCCTTTTTAGGCAGGTAGTGGGAAAAAGTCTTTAACTCTTATTAATTTACTTATTAGGCTAGTTATTAATTTTTTTGTTTTATATGTTTATTTTTAAATTTTATATATTTTCTTTTAGCAAAGCAAATTGAAATTCACTGGTTAATAGAAACTTGGGTACTTTCTTTTCTCTATTTTTTTTGTATTATTCGTATTTTATGTAATGAGCATATAAAATGAAAATAAATTTTTAAAATGAAAATTTTAATGTTCTTCAAATACAGTTCACTCTAGTTCTAAGTGGTAGAGTTTAGAGTATGACTTGGAATGCTTGTTAGCTGAAAGACAAAAAATTCAAACAAAGTCCAGATATTTCTCTGAGGATTTATTTGAAGTTTTGATTTACACCATTATTTTAAAATAATTTGCTCTAATGTTCACACTATTTTATACAATTTATTTTAAGTGGATTGTTCCACAGTAATAAACTTTTCTTTCTTTCTTTCTTTCTTTCTTTCTTTCTTTCTTTCGAGATTTTTGTAATAAGGTGTGTGTGCTCTCCAGGAGACAGAGAGAAAAAGTGAGAAATCTTCTTCCTCCCAGGGGGGGATGTCCATGCTGCAATCCCTTCTTTTGTATTTTCTTCTTGGGATTTTGGGTATGCACGCACATGGGCCTGGCATGAGTTTCAAGTCTCCAGGTCTGGGACTTGGTCAGCCATCTGGGAGGACAGCGCCTTAACCACTACATTATCTGCAGGCCCCGATAGACTTTTCTTAATGACAACAGTTTATAGAATAGTGGTAAAAGGCTTAGATATAAAATTTTCTAAAAGGAAACAAAAAGTTAATATATAATTTAGAAAGATTTTCTTAAATGTGCCTTTGCCTTATTATTTTTAATTTTTGTATATATGGGTAGATTAGGAATCTTGCCTATTTCCCCTCTATATCTCTTTCTAATTAACATAAAATATCATTTAAAAAATTCATATCAAGAAAACAAAGCCATCCATTGATACATCTTGGAATTTTTGTCCCATAACTCATTAAAACTCTTTGAACTATAACCACATGAGTGATAGTCCTTTAACTCCATGGAATGAATGCTCTTAGTTAACTTCTCTGGATGAAGCAGTTTGTGAGGATTACTGGAGTCAAAACACTACATCTGCTATGGGAGAGCTTCCGAAGAGTTGCTCCTTTATTAAGTCAAAAGAAAATCTTTTGCTTCACTGACTGATGAATGAGTAACTGAGAAGAGGCAGTATTAGGTGTTGTGTTGATTTGTTTTTGAGACTGAGGTCAACACCAGAAAGGGTAACATTCAGACACTGAGAAAGGTGTGGAGGCAGTGGCTAAAACAGTGACAGGTGGCCCAGGACATAGCAGCCTGTCCTCTGCTTGCCAGCCAGAAAGAGGAAGGAATAACTTTTTCTTACTTAAAGATGCCTGTTTACGTGATAGTCCTGGGAATGAACAGTGGAATGGTGGGAGCGGAAAAACACATGATTTACTTAAAATATACCCAAGTCAAATGTTCTTTTTAAAAGTTTTGGGAGGAAATAGTGATTCCAATATGGTTGTTGTAGACAAAACTGGTCTAGAACTCTTCTTTGGTCTATGCTGTCAAGGTTCCAGCCATGCCCTTTTAAAAATTCTGTTTAAAAAATTCTTTTTTCAGAGAGACTTTTTGCTATAGAGTGTGTGTGTGTTCACCAGAGAGACAGAAAGTGATAAATCACCCCCAAGGAAATGGCCATGCTGCAATCCTTTCTCCTCTGTTCTCCTCTTGGAATCTTGGGGGCACACACACACACACACACACACACACACACACACACAGCCAGCATGAGTTTTCTGTCACCAGGTCTGGGACTTGAGCCACGGTCAAATACATGGGAGTCCACCTACTTAACCATTACACCATTTGCCGATCCCTAAAAAATTTTTTTAAGAGACATTTTTGCTATAGGGTATAGGTATTGTTTTTTGGGAAGTATATAGGTATATTTTTGGTCAAAAGCTGAGAGATATAAGCAGGTAATTTTGCTTATTTGCTTACATTTTAGAGGTTTAATGTTCCAATGAAGATTTCAAACAAGAATTCTAATAACAGAAACATAGTAGCAAGTATGCCAAGAATAAACCATAAACTTCTTCATCCTGTACAAGGGGAGGGAAACTCTATTACAGTATAATTTCAGGAAGCCTAACCCCAGGGTCCACGATTTACCCAGGACCAGCTCCACTCATTCAGTTGTAACTTGGAGAAACAGAATCATTTGTATGAACTCGTGTAGAATATTTCCACAGCACAAGTAAGGGTTAGGTGGAATGGTGTGAAACACTATGTCCTGGCTTAAAAAGAGGCCACAGGTATCTTTGGAAAGACTGACCAGAAGTCTTTTTGTCTTGAATTACTGTGCATTTGAACCAATGATCGTACCTACCTGAGATATGAAAATTAGTGGAGAATGACTTTAAGATAGCAAGAGCAGGGACCAGCAGTTAGCATAATGGCTATGTCGCTGGACTCTCATGTAGTCAACCACGGTTCGAGTCCTGGGCCCAGTGGCTTAAACTCACGCCAGGCATGTGTGCATGCGTGCCCAAGATCCTGAGTGAGAGGAGAATGGAGGAGAAGGGATTGTGGTGTGGCCATCACCCCTGGGGGCAGTGATTTCTCGCTTTCTGTCTCTCTGTCTCTCTCTGTCTTTCTGGGGAGTGCACACGC